TGGGCTGGATAATAGGTTGGTTAGGTTGAACCAGGCTTCAATGTCCATTGACGTGTGCGAGAGCTAATTGGGATGTGGGACAGACTGGACAAGCCTGCAGTGCATACTGGCAAGCATGGGAACCAGGGTAGGGGGCAGAACTGGTAGGGGTTTTGGGGAGTCGCCCCAACTAGGCTGTAGCTCCAACTGGTTTGCATGAAGACCGAGTATGAAGTGGGTAGAATCGAGCTGGACTACAACACCCATTGGTTCACAAGGAAGACAGGGCTGGAAGCCGAACGGACCCAGCAATCGCAACGACCAGCATATGCATAAGCTGATTGGTGTGACGAACAGTGTTGGAGTCTGTACTTTGCTAGTGAGTGAGTTTGCTACTCACTCAAGAATCAGATCTGGGATCAACTCAGATGAAGTTTCTTTGGATATTTCTCGAACTGAACTGCTGATCTTGGAACCCCAACCATCAAGAGACTGTCAGCCAGTAGACTCTGAATAAGTTTCATTACGGTTGGGACGGAGAGATTGGCAGCAATCCAGAACTGATGAACTATCAAAACTGTATGAGCAGGACCCTTGGAGCGCGCCTCATGTTGGGGATCGGGGATGAGTGGGAGGTAGGGTGGGGCTTTCCCCTTTGTTACTCTCCTAACCCTAGATACAGGGCAAAATGATTATATTAGTGTGGAAACAATGATATTACCCACTTTCACCCTGTAGCCCGTGACCCTTTGTACCCTAATAAACTAAGATTATTAAAAAAAAAAAAAAAAAAAAAAAAAAAAAAAAGAATGGCAATGAAGTCTTAAACTCCCATCATAGCAGATGGAATACAGTGCAAATAAAAGAACAGTCTGGGTGGCAGGGGTTTGGCCCAGCAGTTAAGACCTGCGTACCTTTTGAGAGTGCCTGAGTCCAAGTCCTGCATGGGCTTCCTGACTCCGGCTTCCTGCTAACGGCAGACCCTGAGAGGTAGTGCTGATGACTCAGGTGATTAGACCTCGCCACTCATGCAAGAAACCTAGAATGAATATCCAGCTTTTGGCTTCAGTCCTGACCCAGCCTCAGCCACTGCAGGAATTGGGGGAGATGGTTCTCTCTGTTTGTCTGCCTCTCAAATAATTTTCTTTAATTTTTTTTTGAAAGAAAAAAGGAAAACATAAAAAAAGGAAATGCAGAATAGTGAACACAAGCTAAAATGGTAAAAATATCCTAAATATATTAACAGTGAATTAAAATTGCAATGAAATATAAATGAACAAAAGTCACTAGTTAGAAGGAAGATGTTGGTGTGAACATTTGTTTGATCTAGCTCTTAAGACACCTTGGTGCCACACTGAAGTGCTTGAGTTTGATTCCTAGGTATGGCTGCTGAGTCCAGCTTCCTGCCAGTGTAGACCCCGAGAAGCAGTAGGTGATAGCTCCAGTACATGGGTCCTGCCACCCATATGAAGGGTCTAGATTGAGTTTCCACTTCCTGGTTGCAGCTCTGGGCCAGCCCTGGCTCTGAAATAGTTGATGGGAACTATATCTGTCTGTCTCTCTGTGTCTTTCTGCTTCTCAAATAAAAAGTAAATGAAAAAAAGGAAGATGTTCTCAGATTGGATTAAAACAAAAAGAAATTCAAATGTTTACTGTTTTCCTAGAGAAAACCTAAGATACAAGAACAAGGGGTATCAGCAATTAACAGCAGGTATTGTGACAACCTCTGAGATTTGGGGGCTTGAAACAACAAAGTCTACTTTTTCTCACATCTTAATTCATTGTGTCAGAATGCTATCCTGCTGTGTTTCCCTCAATAGTGACACAGGAATATGGGGTCTTCCAATCCTGCTTCTACCACCCTGGAGCTCTTTGTATAAAGCCACGTGAACAGAAGAGAGATGGAGAAATAGAGGGAAGGAAGGAAGGAGAGAGAGAGAGAGGTGAAGAGAGAGAATTTAAAATGTACAGCATTTTAGGGCCTAGCTTGGGAATGGTATACATCACTTTTGCTCATATTCCTTTGGGCTAGAACTCAATCCACATGATCCCCACATTAGCTTAAAACAATTGATAAATTTTGTCCTGGGTTCCCATGAAGAGAAAATGGAATCAGTGAGCATCTAGCCAGTCTCTGACATATAAAAAGCTTAAAAGTAAAATAAGATGGAAAAGGATGTGCCAGGCAGACAGCAAGCAGAAAAACCTAGAGCAGCTCTGTTCATATTGGCTAAAGTAATCTTTAAGAAAAAATGCATGATTGGGAACAAAGAGAGTAATTACATGATGGCAACAGATGTGACTACAATGAAGAGATGCTAATTCTGAAATTATTATATAAGGGGCTTCAAAACATCCATGGGATGTATTACTTTTTCTTTCATCTTTCCCAGAAACATTTTGAATCCTAGTATGTACCTAATGATGCCTTTAAATAGCACAAAGCAAAATTGATAAAATTATGAGAAACTGACAAGCCCACTAGCATAATAGGACATATATGGCAATATATGTTTTAGTAACTGATGTCACATATGGAAAACATAAATAGTATAATTAATAAGCTTGAACAGAAGTAAATGTGTAGAATTTATTCAGTTACAGGAAATGCATTTCTTTGTTTCTTCCTTCATTTTAAAAAATTTACTTATTTTTCCTTGAAAGAATTACTTGAGAGACATGAAGGGGTGTTGAGGAGAGATCAAGAGGAAGAAAGAAATCTTCCATCCATTGATTCACTCCCCAAATGACCACAAGGAGCAGCCAGGGTAGGAACTGGTAACCATAAGGGATGTCTGTGCCATGGGCAAAGGATTAGCATGCTACATCAGGCCCTGCATGGTCTTCCTGAGTGCATGAAAAATTTGTGAAAGCTGACCATGTACTTGGCTATAAAGCAAGCCTTAACAAATATCGCAGAATCAATATCATACAAATCATGTTCTCTTATTACAATATAATCAGGTTAAAATAAATAACAGAAAGATAACCAAAAGAAAAAAAAATTAGGGCCTGTGTTTTGGCACAGAGGGTTAAGCCACCACTTGTGATAATGGTATTTCACATCAGAGCTCTGGTTCAAGTCTGATATGCTCCGCTTCTAATACAGCTCCCTTCTAATGTGCCAGGCAAATCAGTGGAAGATGCTCTAAGGCTGGGGCTCTTGGCTCATGACTTCTTTGGTCTGGCCCAGGCCTAGCTGTTACTGCCATTTGGGGAGTAAATCAGTGGTTGAAATGTCTTTCTATGTCTAGCTCCTCCTCTCTGTCTCTCCCCTTCTCTATTATAAAAAAATAAATATTTTAAACCAGGTTGTATATGGAGATGTTTTATTATTAATAATTTACTGTAGTGAAATACTAGGAACAACTGAAATAGCCAGTGACATAGCCATAGTTAAGTATGCCTTGTGGTCCAGTGGGCTTTAACACAGGGAAATGTGCTAAAGATACAATATTTAGTGTAAACTTGATCTGTATTACCTGTGATCACAACCACGTGAGCACAATGTATGCCTTAGGTAGATCAGAAATATAAAGGCAAATGCAAACACTGTTACATGACAGTGATGGGATTTAAACCCACTTGTAAAAGAATATTTCATTTTGTGGTGACATGGTTTAATGTGAGTTGAGAGAATCAACAGAAGCCATGATCTCTATGTAGCAGCAGATGCTAGTTCTACCTTTATACCTATGGTGTCTTCTTTTCTAGCAATGCAGTTTCAGCTGGGTACATAGCTGTCCCGAATGAAAGCACATTTCCAGCCTCCCTTGTAGCTAGGTGTCGTGATAAGATGAAGTTATGGCTAATGAAATGTGAGAAGGGAGTACCCAGAAAGCAGTGCACCTTTCCTTTCTCCTTCTCCTCTTTCTTGCCACTGAACTCTGCCTTAGCTATATTTATTACATGAACCATGAGCAGACTGAGTCTGACATGCATTTGATCTGAGGAAGGGACTGCTTATCCAATTAGTGAATGAGAATATGTGTGACTCATGAGGACAAGCAAGCGTTTTTCCATTCAATCAGCGTCCAGTACAAGCTCTGAAAACAAGGGGATTATCCCTCCTTTTCTGGATCTAAGACAAGGATGTGTTAATATTAAATAGTGCACATTTATGTTAAATGAATTCTAGTGGAAATCATACATAGCTATTCCAGTATTCTTTGTCATTGCAGAGACTATTTTAGCAGAGGATATGATCCTTTTGTAGGTTTCTATGCTTGAGTTAGATCAGCAATGAATGTACCAATTTTAAATCAACCGGTTTTAAATGTTAAGCAGAATAAAAAACTGTACCTTTAAAGCTCAATAAATAATGGCACTTTGTTTAGTCACCACAGTCTCTGGTAAGGTTTACTATAATCCAGCCTGGATCACAAAAGAAATCAATAATTTGCACTATATCAGGAATGAGAATTTATCAATTCAAAATGAAATTGATATATATTACTCACAACAGTCTTTATACTTGAAAAATAACCGAAGTACAACATGAAAGCAGATGCAGCACTCTGCCCCAGGTGCTTACACTGCTCAATAATGATTAGGGATGCCGTGTCATGCCTACTGCAGCAACAAATCCATTATTATTTGTATTATAATTCAGAGTCAGTCATTCACAAGCTGTTCTGTAAAAACAACATGCAACTAGAAAAAAGAACATTGGAGCCTCACTCAGAGCTGCTTTATTCCACGAATTCTAATATTCATGCTAAGCATGGCCTGTTCAGATATTTTTTTAAATGAAGCAAAATCAAAATGGAATAAAGGTCCCAGCAACCAATTTTCTCACCATTTCTTGAACAGAGCAGTATACTGCTAATTCAAAGGCAACTGATCCAAATTTTTTAGATTAAAATTCTGTTGGTAAAAAATGATTGCCCCGGTGGCAGTCCAAACAGGCTAATAAATATGTCACACACTTAAAAGAGCAAACTGAGGACTTGGTTCTATTTTATTTTCCTTTCTGGATCATTACACACTAGCAGATTGTTAAGGTGCCAGTTAGCTTTGCATTAATATGATGCAGATTTATCAATGCCCAAGCATTCACACCAGGTGAATAATTCCTTTTCTTCTTTCTCCAAATCGATATCTGATAGAGATTCTTGAACCTCCACAATGTCAAAAGTTGGTGTGGAGAAGATGATCGTTTCTTGTGGTTTTTTAGTTGGTTTTTCTGTTTTCAGTTCCTAAGTGGGATTGTAAAGAAAAGCAGAGAGTTTTTAATATTTGTTTTTATTACTGTATATTTTACGAATTGATTCTTTACATATTTATCTTCATCCCCTAACTATTTACTGCAGGTCTTTTAAAGATTAGAAAGTAATATATGCATGCATGTTTACTGTAAATATCCCCATCATATAAAAGTATACTGTACAGTTTCTACTATGTTTACTGAGAAGTGACTTCTATTTTGAAGAAAGCACCATCAGAGACATGCTGAATCCGCATCCATAAGGAGATGACACGTAGTTTTTGTTTTTATTTTTTCAGCTGGACCTGGCTAGAGTGGGGTGCTAACTCTTGTTGATGTGGACGTAAAACAGCTGTTGTCTGTTAGAAAAGCTATTGGGAATTTTTACTTATTTGTATTTACTTGAATTGATTTTTTTAAAGATTTATTTTTATTATTTTTTCATTGGAAAGGCGGATATACAGAGAGGAGAGACAGAGAGGAAGATCTTCCGTCCGATGATTCACTCCCCAAGTGAGCACAACGGCAGATACTATGCCGATCCGAAGCCAGGAGCCTCTTCCGGGTCTCCCATGCAGGTGCAGGGTCCCAAAGCTTTGGGCTGTCCTTGACTGCTTTCCCAGGCCACAGGCAGGGAGCTGGAAGGGAAGCGGGGCTGCTGGGATAGAACCGGCGCCCATATGGGATCCCGGGCGTGCAAGGCGAGGACCTTAACCACTTGCACCACCGCGCAGGGCCCTCAAATTGATTTTTAAAAATATTTATTTTTATTTATTTTTAAATTTAAGAAGCAAATTAAAGAGAGTGAGAGAACAAGAGAACATGCTTCCATCTGCTGGATCACTGCTCAAATGGCAGCCAAGGGCCAGAGCTGAGCTGATCCAAAGCCAGGAGCCAGGAGGTCTTCCTCTAATCTCCCACACAGGAGCAGGTGCCCAGGGACTTGAGCCATCCCCCACTTCTTTCCTAGGCCAAAGGCAGGGAGCTGGATGGGAAGTGGGGCAGCTGGGACTCAAACCAGCACCCAGAGGGGTGCCAGTGCCACAGGGTGCAGGATTAGCTTTCCCAAATAATTTTTAAAATACATATGTTCAGTGTGGAAGTAGCCTTGTGTTACCGCAGGCATAATATGCCAAAGATGTTTCAGCCTTGAACTTGTAGATAGAAATATTTCACGCAAGTCAAATTACTTACAAGCTATTTCATTATGGTCTACAACAATGAATGGAATACAATTTGTAGTCACCTCAGGAGTAGGTTTTTCTTTAGCCGCCTTGTAAACTTTCTTCATTTTTTTAACTTTCAGTTGAGCTTGCTTGGACCGACGTCCCAGATGTTTACACTGGCCTGGATGGTAGGAGGGTCGATAAGAAGATCGGATATTCACAATGGATGTAGGATATCTAGAAAATATTTGATTTACAGACAGAAACATCACACAAAATCAAATTTAAATGTGAAACAAGTTCCAAAATTTACAATATGTGCTTTTAATATTCTATGTGTAATTAGTCATATTGCATGTAAGATTTCAGCTTAGACTTATTTCTGCCTAAATTTACAAAGCATAGTTCTTTATCTGGTATTTTATGAAGGTATATAGGTGATGCTGCTAACAAGGGTGGTGAAAATTACAAAATCTAGGACCAATTTACAATCAGTATTTCCGGAAAATACTGCATAGTAGCTACCTGAATTGTTTTTCACTCTATGCTAGCACAAAGAAGATTACAGTTCGTAATGGTTGACAGAATAAGGATTTTTTAAAATTCTTTTTTTTTATTATTGAAAAGTCAAATATACAGAGAGGAGAAGAGACAGAGAGGACGATCTTCCGTTTGCTGATTTACTCCATAAGTAGCCACAATGGCCAGAGGTGGGGTGATCTGAAGCCAGGAACCAGGAGCTTCTTCAGGATCTTCTGTGGTGGGTGCAGGGTCCTAAGGCTTTGGGCTGTCCTCCAGTGCTTTCCCAGACCACAAGCAGGGAGCTGGATGGGAAGTGGAGCAGCGGAGATGTGAACCAGCACCTATATGAGATCCCAGTGGAACCAAGGCGAAGATTTAACCACTAGGCTATCGTGCCTGGCCTGAAGAAAAATGTTTTTAAAAAATTTGTGTTGGGGTCAGACCCAGTGGGTGCCATGCCCACAGTCCCCTTGACCTTATCAGCGCAGGGCACGTGGGTTCAACCTCCAGGTGCCAGCACCTGCATCACTTTGCCAGTGAGCTTCTCCTGGGGAAGATTCCTTGTGCGGGGGAGGCTGGACAGGAGAAGTAGCTGCACTTGCTGCGGAGCAGTCCTCCTCCCAGGGCTGGTGGGTGCTGGTGTAGTGACACCCAGCTCCCACCCGAGGGCTGACTGTCAGAGCCCGGGCTCTCTGGCCTCTGGGATGACTCTGACCTTCTCAACAGGGCCGGAGCCCCAGTTAGCCACAGCGCTGGCACTGCTGGTGCTCGAACCCTGCTCTCAGGGACTGCTTGTGGCAGATCCCAAACGGAGCCTGCATCCAGCGATGCCATTAGGAGAGTGTTTTGTCCTCTTTAATTGATTTAGAATCTGGCTGCCGATCTGGCTCTTAAGTGACTCACGCTTGGATAATCAGTAGCACGAGTCCCAACAGCAGGGCTTGTTGCCTGGGGTTATCACGTCTGGTGGCTGAGAAAATCACATCATTTATTCGACCTTGGTGGTAATAGGGTTAAATTCTACATTCAGTGCTCATGTGGATGAGTTAGAGAAAATCTATCTCGTGATGACAGACTGTGCCATCTGTCTGGCAAATGTATAGCCCTGATCATATAATAAGTGGTTTAAATTTCGTTATTGGGTCAGCATCACTCATCTCCATTCCTCGGGAAAAAAAAAAAAACACAGCATGTCTGCTTGATGCTAGGCCTTCAGTGGTTTTTTTTTTTTTCCCCATGTGTTAAAGGAGACTTTTTCATTTCAAATATGACTGAAAATAGACCAGCACTAGGCTCTTTCGGTGTTACTATGTCTTTTCTTTTTTTCCTTAAGAAACCAGTTTAATTTGTAAATAAGTTGGGCTAGGTGAGACTTAGTAATGGAAAGAAAAAAGAATTATAATTGGAGTAGTCATAGTCTGTCCATGTTGTTTCAGATCATAATACATCTATTTTGCTACAATGTGTGTTTCTGTAATGTGAATTGGCTCACATGCTATTGGTAAAGGAGGAAATAATGTCACTGTAATTTCTGTGCAATTTATCTGCGGCGAGGGGAGCCAGAATAGCAAGAATAGCATTTTAAGCTGCAGTAGAAAGCGAAGAAAGCCCTCAGCTCTGTGCTGTGTGGACGGTGGGAGCCCTTTTCACTGCAGTTTTGAAAACAGAAATTTGTTCTTCTACCTAGGGCTCTCTCAGAAAGACACCCCTCCTTCACACCTCAACTGAAGCCACCGTTACCTGGACCTTCCTCCCCACCTGGGATTGCTCTTGGCCCTGTGCAGTACACCCTTCCTCTTGACTCCTCCCAAGGCAGCCAGGCAGGCCGGGGCCCCGCTTCCACCTGCACTGTGTGTCTGCTCCCTGCTCTAATTATATAGTTGCTGCTAGTTCTTCTCTGTGGCACATTCTTCATATTTGCTGTGGCAACCTCTAGCCACACTGAGCTGCTTCTGATGGCACAAGTTACCTTCCCATGTGTCAACTGTGCTTTTTTGTTAGTGTACCATTTACAAAGTTGCTTGAATTTTGACCAATGAGCCCTAACCCAATTTGTCCCCCATGTGCCCTTGTATTGTCTTCACTTAGTTATTTGTCAGAATGTGAACATTTTCAGAAAGGCACCTAGTGTTGTAACCAATGAAGAATCTCTTTTACCTAATTTCAGAAACAATCTGTAGCTGGTGCTGGCGCATTTCTTCTGTTTGTGGTCTCTGTGTCAGATACTTCATTTCTTTTTGTAGACGGTCTGAGATGACTTTAGTTTGTGCGTATTCGACTATGTCATATATCATCATTGTTCTGGGGATATTTTCAAGGTTTAATTTTCGCCAATAGTTGTTTTTGCCACCAGAAGATGCGGGGGTTTCATCCAGGAGGCTGGAATACTATATGAAAAAAAATGATTAAGAATGATGTGGGGTGGGTGGTGGGGTGGGGCGGGGCATTGCAATGACTCAACTTGCTAATTCTCTGCCTGCAAGTGCCAGGATTCCATATGGGCACTTGTTTGCGTCCTGGCTGCTCCACTTCCAACCCAGCTTCCTTCCTAAGCACTGAGAAAGCAGTGGAGAATGGCCCAAACCTTTGAGATCCTGCACCCATGTGGGAGACCCAGAGGGGGCTGCTTCGCTTCAGACTGGCTCAGGTCTGGCCATTGTGGCCATCTAGGAAGTGAAACAGTGGATGGAGGAACTTTGTCTCTCTCTTTCTCTCTCTTTCATTCTCTCTGTAAATGCATCTTTCCAATAAAACTAAAATTTTTAAAAAAAGGATGATTGCAGGGCCAGAATTTGGTTGTGGTGGGTAAAATCACTGCTTGCAACACTGGCATCCAATAAGGATGCCAGTTCTAGTCCCAACTGCTCTACTTCAGATCCAGCTCCTGGAAAGAGTGGTGGAAGATAGTTAAGGTATTTACGCCCCTGGCACTCATGTGGCAGACTTCATAAAGCTCTTGGCTCCTGGCTTCAGTCTGGCCCAACCCTGGCTATTAGGCCATTTCTGGAGTGAACCAGTGGATGGAAGATCTCTGTCATTGTTCTTTAAAAAAAAAAAAAAGCATTTTTTTTTAAAGGATTTATTTATTTTTATTGGAAAGGCAGATATAGAGAAGGAGAGACAGAAAGATCTTCCATTTTCTGTTTCACTGCCCAGTTGGCCACAGCGCCCAGAGCTGAGGTGATCTAAAGCCATGAGCCAGGAGCTTCTTCCCGGTCTCCCATATGGGTGCAGAGCCTTAAGGCCTTGGACTCTTCTCTGCTGCTTTCCCTGGCCACAAGCAGGGGGCTAGATAGGGTGAGGATTTAGTCACTAGGTTAATGGCACCAGGCCCAAAATAAATAAATTGTTAAAACAAAGGAGATTCCTTGATACCATCTCTGAACTTGACTGACATCTCTTTTTCAATGACTCTATGACTAAATGTTTTAGTTTTCTGTGTATATCTTAGATTTCTTATTGGAAAGCATGGATGATGTCACATAGTATCATACACAAAGTACCACATCATTAAATACTTACTAAATGCATCAACATTTTTAAAAGATTTTAAAAAATTTTTTATTGGAAACTTAGCTATACAGAGAGGAGGAGAAATGGAGAGGAAGATCTTCCATCCGTTGATTCACTCCCCAAGGGACCACAATGCCTGGAGCTGGGCAGAACTGAAGCCAGGAGCCAGGAGCTTCTTTGGGATCTCCCATGTGGGTGCAGGGGCCCAAGGTTTTGGGCTGCCTTCTATTGCTTTCCCAGGCCACAAGCAAAGAGCTAGAAGGGCCGTCAGGACATGAAGCAGCACCCATATGGGATCCTGGCACTTGTGCAAGGCAAGGGCTCTAGCTGCTAGGCTGCTGCACCAAGCCCAAATGCATCAACATTTTTATGGCAAACATAATAAGATACATTAAACCTAGGATAAGCCTAAAAATGAATAATAACTAAGTGTTCTGCATAGTGAGTAGGGCTCATTCATGACATGCTTGAGTTGATGGGACATTTGTACAAAACCTTTTCAGAAATGATGAGCTCATCTCTGGTGCTAAATGGAGAATTTTAGAATTTTTCTATTCTCATTTGGAATATATGTAGAAAGCCCATTTTTCTTTTTATCCAATTTAAAATGATATTGACGGGGCCAGAGCCATGGTATAGCTGGTTAAGCCACTACCTGTGGCACTAGCATTCCACATGCATACTGGTTTAAGTCCCAGTGGTTCCACTTGTAATCCCTGCTTATGGCCTGGGAAAGCAGTGAAGGATGGTTCATGTCCTTGGGTCCCTGCCCCCAGATGGGAGACCTGGAGGAAGTTCCTTGTTCCTGGATTTGGATTGGCTTATAACTCCAGCCATTGTGGCCATTTGGGGACTAAACCAGTAGATGGAAGACTTCTCTTCTGCCTTTCCTTTTCTCTGTAAACCTGCTTATCAAGCGAAATTAAATCTGTAAAAAATGATATTGATTCAGGGACCTAGAAAATACAGGCATATATAATCACTTTAACATTATTAATGTGGATTTAAGAGATTGGGATTGGGCAGGAAGTTATAGCACTGAAACACAGAATAATAATGAGGCCTTTAGGGTATGTTATACACACACAAACACTCAGAAGCTCTCCCATGCTTCAACACACACAGACAGGCATTCCGCATTTTGTACCATTTAGGCATGCATGAGTTATAATCACCACCATTTAGTTAAATAATACGAGTGTCCCAAGAATGTGGTTCAATTTCAGTAAGCAGCATTTAAGCATAGGCAAGTTGAAGCACTTTAGGCTGTGGATCACTATATAAATGACAGATGTGCCTAACAATTAGTGACAAATCATGTCATGTCTTTCAAAGTCTGACAGTGATTCATCACTGCAGATGTGTTATTTGGTTTAAAACACAGTAGGGTTTATGATTGCATTACCTCTTTGTCTTCTAGTGGAAAAGTAACGTGGCATTTTGCAAAAATGGATAATCAAAAGACAGATTTGGTCAGCAAAGAGATAAGAAGAGTTAATACTGTCAGTGAAACTGGAATCAGATGCAAATGGAGTTCCAGAAAAAATGAGGAACTGTAGGAACGCTGACCTGGCCATCACTAAAGAGACTGCAGGTGTGCAGCAAGAGGAACGTGGGCAAGGTGAGCTTATCAACCGAAGTGAGCAAAATGGCCATGATGAAAGCGATGGAGCAGTCCCTGAAGGAGGATGCCGACCAACAGCCACTTCCCAATAAAGGGATGTTGAGAAATCTGACAACATTTAAAGTGCAAGGCATCAAGTGCCAGCAGTGGATTCACATTCACAGAGGAGTGTACCAGTTTGCCCAGGCAAAGCAAAGGTGCTTGCTCCTTTGCGTAAGTTACGTGAGAGCAAGAAAGCAAGAGTCATTCAAACCCTTCTTGGTAAGTTTGTTCCACAGATTTGGGATTCACATATTATACAATTCATCCATTTAAAGTACAGAAGTAAATGATTTTGAGTATATTCACAGTGGGTAAGTTTTTTTTTCTACAAAGAAACAAAACACTTTAATTCTTAATGACTGTAATGTTCTAAATTACAGTGTGATACATGTGGTTTTATTTCCCCTTTCATTTTTTCTATATGAGGATACTTTTTAAAATTTTTGGAAAATGGAATGAAAAGATAGGTTTATTTTGTTGCAGAAAATGTTTCAATTCATGCATAGTTTTCCCATAATCTTCATTTTCCACAAACTTTCTGAATTCACTGTGTATACATGGATTTCAAAATTTGTTGCAGCAAAATACCTTATCTTTTAATTCCACTTTCCACAACCCCTGTGAAGCGCTCTCATATATCTAAAACACACACAGTAAGAGAGCTTTGCGTGTTTCAACAAAAACGTTTAAAGGTCATGGGACAGCCACAGCTCTGCCCATTAAGTGTGCTTTGCAGAATTCTGCTTCCACGGCCCTTTCTGATCCTGCACTCCTGCACACGCTGAGGTTGCCTCTATGTATTTTATTTCCTAAGAGTGGAGTAGTAAATGCATCGTGGTCTTGGGCCTGTCAATGATTGACTCTGCTACTTATTAGCTGTGTGATCTTGGGAATGGTTTTGAGAATATGCACATGCAGAGCTAAAAATGGTGACTTGACTATACAAGAACCCAATAAATGCCAGCAATCATTAATGCCCCCCTGCCACCCCTCCATTAGGTCTCTCTTGGGACTCTTCTCTGTGACATGAACCCCCAACATATCCACAGTCTGCAAGGATATGACCCCTGTCCTCAGCAAGGATCGTGAGAATCTCTGGGTCTACTTATTTCCTTGTTCCATTCTCTAATCTTGTAAGTTTAGGCTCTTAAAAAAAAAAAAAAAAACACAACCCCAAACACTGGTGGTAGTCTTATAAATGCCATGTTTCACATTGGAGCAACTGAGTGAATAGCAAACCATATGAATTTTTAATTTTAGGTAGAATGTTAGGATTTCTTGTTTCTTTAGATCTTGCAAAACAAGAGTAATGATAGTACCAGCCTCTTTGTGTTATCAAGAGAGTAAAAGGAGATGGGATTTCAGAAGCATGCTTCTTTTTCTTCAGGTATCTAGCTCAATTAAGTTCTTTGAGTCAGCACTGCTATGCATACAGTTATGCAAAGCAGAAACCTAGGAGACACAAGACATGCAGGCCACCTTCCGTTTCAGTCTGCTATCTGGAACCACTGCTTTCTTCACTATCTATTGTGTGTCCAAACTCACGGCCCTAAAGTAAGCCATTTATCCCATCACCACCCCCTGAACCTCATAGTAACAGAGGACCACTGCTGCCCTCTAACCTGTTCTTCACATGGCAGCCACAAGGAGTTCTTCACTCCCTCATTCAGATCAGGTTCTTTCTTCTTCTTCTTCTTTTTTAAAGATTTATTTATTTTGATAGGAAAGGCGAATATACAGAGAGGAGGAGAGACAGAGAGGAAGATCTTCCGTCCAATGGTTCACTCCCCAAGTTAGCGCAACGGCTGGAGCTGAGCCAATCCGAAGCCAGCAGCCAGGAGCTCTTCTGGGTCTCCCATGCGGGTGCAGGTCTCAAGGCTTTGGGCCATCCTAGACTACTTTCCCAGGCCACAAGCAGGGAGCTAGATGGGAAGTTTGGCCGCCGGGATTAGAACCAGCACCCATATGGGATCCCGGTGTGTGCAAGGTGAGGACCTTAACCATTATGCTATTGCACCGGGCCCAGCTTATTTCTTGAAGCACTGCACCATATTCTCTCTGTGCACAGAATAAGGAAAAAAAAACTATCTGCCTCTGGTCTGCAACTCTGTCTGCTGATTTCTTCCCAGGCTGATGGCACGCCACACTCTCCTACATGCTTTTCTTCAAGTCCACAGACCTCCTCACAGTTCCTGCAGCAGCTCCTGCCCCAGAACCAGGGTCTGAGTAGTGTCACCTGTCACCCTCCACACACAGCTTAGTAGCACTGCCTCTGGGAGGCTATGACACACTTCACCTATGGCCTGCCCAACAAGCATTATTCAAGGGAGACTTGTAAAAATAATGAATGGAACAGGAGTGTGCTCAGGGAAGGAGGGCCAAGCACTTGAACCATGACTGTTCTCATTCAGGTGAGGGAAGGGATCTTTTTATTAGTGACTGACTTAAGGGGAGCATGTGACCTAGTTCTGATCAAATGTGTCTGAGGGAGGGGTGGTCTTTTAATAGCTTCTGGGAATTTTTTTTCTTCCAGAAACAAAGAGAAAGATAAACTAGGCTTTGGTGCCCTAGTTCAGATGTGCTTGGGACATCCACAGAGTGCCTGGGTTTGAGTTCCAGGCCTGCTTCCCATTCCAGTTCCCTGCTAATTTGCACCCTGGGAGGCAGCACCTAATTGCTCAAGTAGTTGGGTCCCTGCCACCCACATGGGAGAACTGAATGGAGTTCCTGGTTTCTGGCTCAGCCTAGCTCAGTCCTAACTGTTGTGGGCATCTGGGAAGTGACCTGATGGCAGATTGTGTCTTTCTGTGTTGCAAATAAATTTAAAAAGAAATGAAAAGTTTTGAAGAGAGAATAGGAAAGATGCTAGGAGTTTTCTTTTTCTTGCCTTTGAATGGAGCTGAGGAGTGGAGTGGAGAGATTCTGACCTGAGCACTGAAGTTCTTGGGCTGCTGAATTAGCTAGTTGAGGCACCACCTGCCTGGTTACTTTAAACTTTTTGTGGTTTAGAGTATTATGTTACTGGTAGCAGACAATATGAAAATAAAAGAACCCTTCTTTACTAAGTCAAATGCTGTTGTGTACTTGTTTAGCACCATTGTGGTCATTTTTGACTTTTACTATTTTTTTTTTAATTGAGATGAAGTTAGCAGAATATAAATTTACCATTTCCACCCATTTAAAGTCTATAACTCAGTGGGGCTTAGTATATTCATGATGGGTTTGGATGGGTAGTTCACAGGCTGGAGTGATGGAAGAACAGGGTGAGGGGGATGATTGATCACGGGCTGTGAGGTTTCCTTTTGGGACAGTGAGAAGATCCTGGAAGCAGATGGCACTGATGACTGCACAGCACTGTGGCTGTGCCCGAGGTCTCCAAACTGCACGCTTCAAAGTGGCCAACATGTCAATTTCATGTTATGCACATTTGACCACAAGAAATAAAGCACATGATTCTTTTTGAAGAACAGAGTCAGGAAGGGCTTTTTTTGGTGTGTTTTTGAACATCTGCATATAAATCCCTTACCTGTATATAATCCCTCATGGTAATAATATCAACCTTTTCAGTTACTTTGAATTTCTGGAAGCGACGTTCATCTTCCAGAAGTTGTTCATAGAATTTTCTTATTCCCATCATTTTGCAAGCATCACTTACTCCCTATAAAGAGCATAGGAAATAGACTTTAAAATAGAAGCACAATAGCATTAATTATCAGCACACACTGATAATTAAGATATAATTTTCCTGAAAAATGTGTCAAATATCCTTTGTTCAGGAATATTGCTATTTAATATAAAGGCTACATTTACAAAGAGATTTTATAGAGACTTTTACACCACTTAAAATATGTTCCCACAGCTTTGCCTACATCGTTTTAAAATGTAGCTGGGGACTAGTTGAGCCTACAATACTTAGTGGACAATAGTTTTTAAAAAGATTTTTTTTTCTGCCCGAGAAATACTTTTCCTGTAACATCATTTGTGCTGTGGATGCACAGGAAACTTATGTGGTGATGAAAGCCAGTTGTCTCAGGAATCACATGAAAGATATTCTGGGGAGGACACTCCCTTTTTTGTGTTTCTTAATTCAGCGCCCCCAATTGGAAACATTTCACAATGCCCAAGCCTCAGTGCCCCTCTTTGGACTTCATTCACTGTAGGTAAAAAGTAGCAGATAAAGGTGTTTTGCTTTCCTCCACTTTTCTCCTCATTGTCAATATTTTGTTTTCAAGGAAAGCACCGAAAAATCAGAAAGAGAAGAATCTGAGAACATAAAGAGGCTCAAAGCCTGTCTAGTCCTCCTTGCGCCATCCCCTTTCATCTCTACCTAACCTTGTGTTGAGAGCGATACAGACTGCTGAGTGGCCACTGTGCTCCTCCGAACCCCCTGTAGGCACCAGCAGACCTTCTAGCTCGCCCTTCTATTACGGACCTGTGTTTCTGGCCACCAGGGCTATGCTGATGTGGAGGGCGGCTGGCATGGAAGAAAATTTCCACCTCTTGATTCCAGGTCAGTGTTTTCTGTCCCTTCATATGCCAGAATGTGATCATTAGTGAAAGCAGGGAAATGGAGGTTACAATGCTGATTCCAGGTCTTAGAAGAATGCTGGAGACAGGTTCACAATTTGCTTCCTCTATGCCAAAGTCTCCATCTTGTTATCAAGACTGTTTCTCTTTATTTTATTCTTTGAAATATAAAAGGTTCCATGCCACCATTGCTGTCCCTTCAAATTTAGTACATTTACCTTGTTTTCCCTTTTGCACTTTCCATATGTATCTGTGATTTTTGAAGCTTTTTGTTTTGTTAGTTTCCATACACTATCTATGTAAAGAACAATATTCGAGCTGGCATTGCAATGATAGGCTAAGCTGCTGACCAGGACCCTGGCACCGCATAGGAACACTAGTTTGAGTCTTGGCTACTGCACTTTTAATTTAACATTTGTTAATTTTTTATTGGAAAGGCAGATATACAGAGAGATAGAGAGACAGAAAGAAAGATCTTCCATCTGCTGGTTCACTCTTCAAGTGGCTGCAATAATGGGAGCTGAGCCAATCCAAAGCCAGGAGCCAGAAGCTTCTTCCAGGTCTCCCACATGGATAGGAGGGTCCCAAGGGCTGCTTTCCCAGGTCACGGACAGGGAGCTGGATGGGAAGTGGGTCAGCTAGAACATGATTTGGCACCCACGTTGGATTCTGGCACGTGCAAGGCAAGGACTTTAACCACTAGACTACCGTATTGGGCTGCTGTTCCATTTTTTTTATCCAGCTCCCTGCTAATGCATCTGGGAAAGCAGTAGAAGATGGTTTAAGTGCTTGGGCCCTGGTACCCATGTGGGAGGCCAGGATGGAGTTCTAGGATCCTGCCTTTGGCCTGTTCTAGCCCTAACCATTGCAGCCATTGGGAGAGTGAACCAGTAGATGGAAGTGCACTCTCTCTCTCTCTTTCTCTCTCTTTCTCCCTCCCTCCCTCTCGTAAGAGTTACAGAAGGGTGCACACACACACACACACACACACACACAGACTGCATTTCCTTCTGAAGGTTCACTCTCCAAATAAGGCCAGGTTGAAGTGAGAGTAACACAGAAAAAGAGGGAGAGACAGAGAGCCAGTGTTGCAGTTGGTGATTTAATTCAGTATACTACAACTCCAGCCCTATAAATAAATCTCTAAAAAAAATGAAAAAAAAAAAAAACCAATATTGGACCATCTCTCCATTATGCTTTCTCCTGTTCATTTTCTGTGGGTACTAATTAACCAGACCCACAGTGACACCAAAGGTAAAAGCAAATAATTGTACATTGCTGCTGTAGGAATTTCTTTAGGTATAATTATGTTACTTTAACTCCAGTTACTTAGAAAAGTCTTCACTGTCAGTTCCTTCCTACACTGGCCCCCTTAGCCATCACCAACTGTCTCTCCAAGTCTCAGTTCTCGGCTGTGTTTGGCCTATTTCCGCCTATGTGCGATGGTGTCTGAGCAGTGTTTGCCATCGAGTGCTCACGATGTTGTTTCTCAGACACCCACCATGTACAGCCAGGCTCAGGCAAGTCCTGGACAGGAAGAGAAGGCAAAGAAGAGCACGGTCCCCAGAGAAAAGGGGAGGCAGACAGACAGATAAGATCCAGCATATCAGCGCATCGGAGTGGAGCCAAGAGGCAGGTTCTGTTCCTGGTTGGTGACTCCAAGGGTCCAGGAGGAGAGTTTTCTAAAGCAGACACTTCACCGGATATTCGTAACACTGATCCTGAGCCTCCCCCCACCCCCGACTGCCCTGGGGCTACCTGTTGACCTAGATTCCCACTTAAATTTGTAAAGTCACTTCCCTACCCCTGCTGGGAATTCCTGTAAAGTTACTTCACTATCTCAAGTAATTTTCTCATTCCTACTGGAAATTTCATCATGAGGGTGAGTAGCAACTGGTATCCCGGCACTGAAACAGGCTTCTTGATTTAGAACAAGAATAACAATCATCAGTTATTATTTTAACAGTTACTATTACAGTTCACTTAAGTATAGTTGCAGAATAAACAAAGCCAAAACTTTTGAGGTTGTTTTAGCTTCAAAATATGTACAGATAGCAGAGATGAGCTTTCAAGTCTCAGGGTTGAACAAGTCCCTAGGTTCTGAGTTACTCATCAGCAGAGTGACCACAGGGCCCTCAAGGAGGATGTGTGTGCTGCTGCTTCACCTGGCTTCTGACTCTTAGGATTGGTTCAACTTCTGTGGGCTTCAGAGTTGGGCTCCTTCACCTTGTAATTGTCAGACTTCAGGCAAACTCGTTTTTAAAAAATTTTTGTAAGATTTATTTATTTGAAAGACAGAGTTTCAGAGAATGAGGAAGAGGTGGAGAGAAAGAGCTAGAGTCTTCCATCTTTCCTAGTGGCTGCAATGGCCAGGGCTGGGCCAGACAGAAGCCAGGAGCCAAGAGATTCTTTTGGGTCTCCCACACAGGTGCAGGGTCTCAAAGACTTGGCTCATCTGCTGCTGCTTTCCCAGGCCACAGGCAGGGAGCTGGATGGGAAGTGGAAAAGGCAGAACTTGAATGGGCATCCAGATGGGATGCTGGCCTCACAGACACCAGCTTTACCCAGGGTGCCACAGCAAGGGCACTGGAAAATTAGTATGTCAAGCATAAAGACAGTGGTAGTTCTTGCGGTATAGTCAGTTAAGCCATTACCCACGATGCCTGCATTCCTATCAGAGTGCCGGGGACTGAGTCCTGCCTGCTCTGCTTCTGATCAGCATTCCTTGAGGGCACCTGAGAGAATGAGTGGATGGGAGATTTGTCTCTGTCTCTACTTCATAAATAAGATGAAGATAACGTGAGATCACGTGAGAGTACTTCACAGCTTGTGGAAAAATAAAATTCACATTTATTTTGGTGCAAAAACTTTCATATTTCATGTATGCATAGTTTTCTCATAATATGTATTTTTTTAAAGATTTATTTTATTTTTATTGGAAAGGCGGATATACAGAGAGGAGAGACAGAGAGGAAGATCTTCCGTCCAATGATTCACTCCCCAAGTGAGCACAAAGGCCGATGCTATGCCAATCCGAAGCCAGGAGCCTCTTCCGGGTCTCCCACACAGGTGCAGGGTCCCAAAATCAGAATCACACAACAGCAAAATTCCAATAAGACAAATTAAATTGCCTCAGATGTTCTGCATAATTTAAAAAGCCGTCCTCGACTGCTTTCCCAGGCCACAGGCAGGGAGCTGGATGGGAAGCGGGGCTGCTGGGATTAGAACCGGCACCCATATGGGATCCTGGGCGAGGACCTTAACCATTGCACCACCGTGCCGGGCCCATAATATGCATTTTAATGGAATTTCTTAAGCCCATCAAAGAGTTTTTATGAGAATTTAGTGAAATACCATACAGACTAAGATCATATTTTACAGAAGTATGTTCACTAAGGGTACCTATTGGTAGCAATAACATTCCTTTTATTTAAAAAAATCCTCAAGGCTCAAAAGGATAGGGATTTTAAGAAATATTTACTAATTTTATTTGGAAGGTAGAGAGAGATTTTCTATCCACTGGTTCACTTTCCAAATGCCTACAGCAGCCAAGGCTGGGCTGGTGGAAGCCAGGAACCAGAAATTTAATATAAGTCTCCCATGTGGGTGGCAAAGACTCAAGGACTTAAGGCATTGTGTGCTGCCTTCCAGGGTATCCAAGAGCAAGAAGCTAGAATCAGAGTAGAGCTGGAGTTTGAATCCAAACACTCTTATAGAAAATACAGATATCTCAAATGGCAGCTTGACTGCTGTAACAGATGCCCACCCCAGGGCAGGGATTTTCAGTAAGTTACTGGGTGTTATGCACTATGAACTGCCAATTGGGACCAACATTGTGGCTTAGTGAGTGAAGCCACCATCTGCAGTGTTAGCATCCCATATGGGTGCTGGTTCATATGCCGGCTATTCCACTTCCAATTCAGCTCCCTCCTAATAGTTTAGGAAAAGACGTGGATGATATCCCAGGTATTTGAGCCTCTGCTACCCACGTTGGAGACCCAGAAAAGTCTCTGGGCTCCTGTCTTTGGCCTGGTCCAGCCCTGGCCATTGCAACCACTTGCAGAGTGGTGCAGTGGATGGAGGACCTCTTTTCTCCCTTTCTCTCTTTCTAACTCTGCCTTTCAAATAAATAAATCTTTAAAAACAAAACAAAACCCTGTCAATCAACTAGAGGCGTTCCAGGGTATGGGGAGGGCACCTTTTAAACAGTGATTTCAAATGGTATGGGCCTTAATGCAGATGTTGATTTGGTGGGAGGAGACAGCGGTGGTGGGGCCGGAGACTCTGTATTCTTATGAGGCACCCAGTGCTGTAGGGCTGTGGGATGCCATGTGATGCTTCAATACATTTATACATTTTATGTAATGTTCAATGGAGATAAATATATTTCCTCAAATATTTAACATTTCTTCAACGTGGAAACTTTCCCAATTTTTGCTTCAAACTCTTCATAAAATACATACTACATTACAGTCACTCTGCTGTGTGAGAGAACACCAGAGCTGTTTATTTCTGGCCAGCTATCAGGTAGTACCTGTTTAAATAACCTTTTTCCATCCTCACTCAGCCCTGCTATTCTCAGTCTCTATAACCACCATTTTATTTTCAACTTCTGTAAGAGTGACTTTTTTAGATTCCACATATAAGTGAGATGATGCAGTCAGTCCTGTCTGTGCTTGGCTTAAAAAGATCTCTTTTAGCACCAATTGTTCTAGCACCACTTGAACTGCCTTGGCACCTCGATGAAGATTAACTGATAATCTATGCATGGTTCGAAATTCTCTGTTGTCTGCTGCTGAGCTATATGCGCTCACTGTTGTGATTACTGTAGCTCTGGCACCGTGGCCAATCAGTATCAATCCTATTCTCCCCCAAAGGGGTTGAGGCTATTCTGCATCCTTCCACTTGTTTTTGTAAATGAGCACATAAAGAGTGCAGTTCAGAAGTGCTATGGAAATGGAATTGTGGTACCTAGAAGGAAGGAAAAGATGGAACGCTAACAAAACGATCTGTGAAGTTTTCCCTCACTTATAAGTGAACTTAGACTAAACATCTGAATGGACTAAAACTGGCTCATTCACTTAAGAAGTAAGTAAACTTGGGAAAAATTAGATGTGCTTGCTGATGATACAATCCCTTGTTCAAAGGGCAGTGTGTAAGCTTAATGTGGAAGAAATTCCACTTTTACAAATTTTCTGTCAGCCATAAATTCAAACGTTATCAGAGTTTGTTTTGAAGCTGAACAAAAGGGAGAATAAATCCCTAACTGTTCTTTTCAAGTTCGGAATGCTCGCATCATTAAAAATCCATAAAAACTTTAGAGAAACATTCAAGCTGGACAGTATACTTGTATTTTTATAGTAAGAACAAACAAAATTTTCATTGTGTACATATCTTCATGGGGAAAAAAACCTAAGGATGCATGGCGACTATTACAGTGATACCCCAGGAGAGTGAAAGTTGCAGCACAGAAAAGAAATGCACAAAGCATATTTTCATGTTATATCTAGGCTATTTTTCTATATTCTACAGTTACTTAATAAGTTCAGTAAACTTTAAGTTATAATATAGTATAATATAATATAATATAGTATTATTTAAGTATAATATAGTATTTGGATGTTTTCATACATGAAGAGGTCTTTGCAAATTCCATAAAAGATACATATTACCTTCTCCAGATTTATTTGGAGTTAGCATTGTAGTAGCGTGGGTTAGGGTGCCACTTGGAATATTGGCATCCAACATCTGAATGCTGGCTCAAGTCCTGGCTGCTTCACTTAGTTGTTTTGTTTTGTTTTGTTTTTGTTGTGGCTATTCCACTTATGATTCAACCTTTTGCTCGTGCATCTGCCAACAGAAGATGGCCCAAGTGCTCAGGCTGTTGCTACTCATGTGAGAGACCCAGATGGAGTTCCTTTGTGGCTCCTGGCTTTGGTGCGGCCCAGCCATGGCTGTAGTGGGCATGTGGGAAGTAGACCAGCAGATGGATAATCTTTCATGCATTGAGTCAGTCCCCAGATGCCTACAGCAGCCATGGTTGGAGCTGGCAAAACCAGGAGCCTGGAATTCCAACCTGGTTTTCCTGGGTAGGAGCAAGTCCTTGGACTATCAACTGCAGCAGGAAACTAAATTAGAAATAGAAGTGGGACTCCCTGCCAGCCACTCTGATGGGGGGGGGTACCCTAAGTGACAACTTAACCTAATGTGCCACAACATCTCTCCGTATATTATCTTTTTAATTCTATTTTTTTCCATGAGCCTTTTAAGTATACTCAAGTACAATGATTTCTGACCAGTTCCTCCAAGGTCGTCATCCCTTCAATCCTGGGCATTTCAATTCCTGGAACAGCTCTATTATACAACCTCAAAACAGGGACAACAATGAGCTTATTCAGAGCAGACTTTCATACACTTTCATACACTTTCACATTGGAAACCAATATACATAAATGAACAAGCAATAGTGTTTTTGAAACACCATGGTCCATAATGCAAACATATTGTCTGTGTGACGCATTTCTGAAGCAGAGCTCAGAATTCTCCCTTGGCTGAGCACGCAGAGGAGCAGCCCATGCTGTTTCTTGAATGCTCTTGGGAGTTGGTGCACCGACTGCATGGACCTGCTCAGAAGCCACCGGGCTGGGTGGTCCACTCTCCTGAGAAAATGCTACATCTCATGGCTTCCGATGAGCTGCACTTTTGTGTAAATATTTGCAGCAGGAGACCTTCCTGTGGTTACAAGAAAATAACTTTTGAAGTATGACTTATAAAATACTAAATATGAGCATGTTCACCTTTAAAACTCCATTATAGTCAGGAATAAGGCTCAAAGGAGTAAAATCTCTGCTGGAGATCCCTGCTATTCAAAGTGTGGCTCATGGACCTGTGGCAGCAGGGGCAGTGACAGCATTTAACAAGATCCCCAAGCGAGTCCTGTGCTGAACACACAATTATGGTGAATATTCATGGAACTGAAAAGTATGACAAGATCACACGTATGCAGAGATAAAGATTTTGCAGGTTCTTTTCAATAGCATAGTCCAGGACATATTTTTCCCCTAAATATTCTGCCAGAATCACACAACAGCAAAATTCTAATAAGACAAATTAAATTGCCTCAGATGTTCTGCATAATTTAAAAAGCCCTGATCAACCACTCTGCTGCTTTAGTTTATTATTAACAAACCAAAAATTTAATACAAAGAAAACGGATGGATTTTTTTCCCTAGGATCTTATTAAGTAATTCAGTCCAAATGCTTTTTAGCTAATAAATGGAGATACTTGGCAACACAGTGCTTAAAAAAGCACAACCTGCCTAGTGAGCTGTTTAATGATGAAACAACCTGCTCTGTAGACTGTGAAGGTAATTCAGATCGTACCTAGATGCGAAGGAGCTAAATTAACATAAAATGTACATTATGAAACGTTACCTCACTGCATGGCTTTAGCATATTTTTCCCACTAAGATATTGGTATCCATGGCCTTCAGTATGAAGAAAAATTTTAAACACGATGAAAGGTGGAAATTTTTCGCCACTAAATCTGGAATAAAGACCAAAAAAAGGAAACATTAGGCTTGAAGTTTTGAGCCCAGTTTCTTCTCCCCCTTTGTACTTAAAATAATTCAGGTCTTTCTTGTGCACAAGGTTAAGGCTATGCCCAGAACATATAAAGAACTGGTGGCAAGCAGCCAGCAATGAAACTTAGTGGGTAAGCTAGCACCTGCAGCAGCAGCATTCCATATCAGAATGCCAGTTACGGTTCCAGTCCTGGCTGCTCTGCTTCCAATCTGGCTTCCTGCTAATGTGCCTGGAAAAATGACACATGATGGCCCCTGCCACCCACATGGGAGGCCAGGATGGAGCCTCTGGTTCCTGAAACTGGCCTGGCCTCGGTCTGGCTTTTTTAGGCATTTGGGGAATGAAACAGCAGATGGAAGATTTCTGTTATTGTGCTTTTTTTTTAAACCCCTAAGATTTACTTATTTATTTGAAAAACAGAGTCTCTCTCTCTCTCTCTCTCTCTCTCTCTCTCTCTCTCTCTCTCTCACACACACACACACACACACATACACACACACCTAACTTTCATCTGGTAGTTCAGTTCTCAAATTGCTGCAATGGCTGGGGCTGGGCAGGCAACACCAGGAACCTGGAACTTCTTCCAGGACTCTCACATGGATATGGGCCCAAGCACTTGGGCCTTCCTCCAATGCTTTACCAGTTGTGTTAGCAGGGAGCTGGATCAGAAGTGGAGCAGCTGGCTCTCAAATCAGCACCCATATGGGATGCTGGCACAGCAGGTGACAGTTTTACTGCTACAATGCAATGCTAGCTCCATCATTGCCTTTCAAAGAAAGAAAGAAAAGAAGGGTCCAGTGTGATAGCCTAGTGGCTAAATTCTCACCGTTGCTATGCCATGGTTCCCCATATGGCACTGGTTTGTATCCTGGCTGCTCCACTTCCCATCCAGCTCCCTGCTTGTGGCCTGGGAAAGCAGTTGAGGATGGCCCAGAGCCTTGGGATCCTGCACCCATGTAGGAGACCCAGAAGAAACTTTTGGCTCCTGGCTTTGGATTGTCTCAGCTATTGCCATTGTGGCCACTTGGGGAGTGAATCAGAAGGTGGAAGATCTTCCTCTCTGTCTCTCCTCCTTTGTATATCTGACTTTCCAATGAAAATAAGTAAATCTTGAAAGAAAAAGAAAGAAAAGAAAAATGAAGGAAGGAAGGAAGAAAGGAAGGAAGGAAGAAACCTTTTAAAAATTTTGATCAAATGAAATAGGGTATAGAAAATGGAAGGCCCACAGTTAGTGGTGTTCACAACTATAGGGACAGCAATGAGATGAGAGCTACTCTCTGGCCATCTGGAGCCAGAGCCATGCTTTAGCATCCCCCGCAAACACATGGAACTAAAGAGCACACATGCACTTTGTAATCCTATCCTAAGAAGCCTCTTAGACTAGCATCTAAGCATCTAAGACTTCTTCGTATTACCTAGGTACTTCTTGAAATAAATCAGCACAGACACATTACCTGAATCTGACTTTGCACTTCATGCTTGGATCTTTAACAAGTTTAGCCTCCAAGGGGCTCACTTGCTTCAGTATTTCATGTGTCACATGATATTCCTAAAATAGAGGAGAGTCCCGTAAATGCAAAATAGAACGTGCCCAGATGCAATTTCCTGACCTGAACAGGAGCGGTGATGGTAGAGTATGCTCGACCAGGCTCAGTTCTCCTCTAGGCTCCTGCACTTGCCAGCTTCGCAGCCTTCAGTTAGTTACTTCACCTTCTTGGTCTCTAGGTTTAAATATCTGTCCCTTCCATACATTGCAGGCTCTGCTTCTTGCCTGTGGTGATGTGTTCTACAGTGGGTGATAATTACTGAGAAAATGTGTCTGACCACGTTTCTGGGCCACTAGACGGTAAGTTTCATGAAACTAGGAACAGTGTCTTTCTTCTTTCCCACTACACTCCTAGCCTCTAGCATAGTGCCTGAGAAACAGCACACGTTAAACAAGTATCTGATGCTGAAGGAATTACTGTAACATGGGTATGATAATAAGAATAGTCAGTTACCTGCTTTTAAGAACCTTGATGTGCTGCATACCGTGTTAGGTGCCTTACACAATAATCTCATTTGATTCATACAACTGCAATAGTTTTAGAATATTATCATTCCCATTTTACAGATGAAAAGGTTGAAACTCAGGGAGTTTTTCTAACTTAAACAAAAGCATACTGGTAAAGGAAAACAGGATTCAAACTTGGATCTGTTTGACCCTAAAGTTCCTATGTTTTCCCCAAATGCCCTCAACCTATCTTTATACTACTGTTAATCATATAAAAATCTGGTTAAAGGTTTTTTGTTTTTTCTTCTATTTTATTTTCAATTTTATAATACAATTCCATAGGCCCTTAATCCCTTCCTAAATTCCCTCCCTTGAACTGTTTTCCCTCATATTATTACAGTAGCATAGTTCTTCATAGACAGTCATTAAGTCCTTCATTCTGCTATTTAAGTATATCCTGACATTATAGGTATGGACAATGGCGGAGAGTCCAGTATCCTATTGTCAAGTTTCATTGGGAATCCATCTTTGATTTAGAAGCAGAGATGCATACTGCATTACATCTTCACATCTGGATATGATAGTCTCTATTACACAGTTACTATACATTCCTTAAAATGAGAAGCTATAAAACAAAATCAACAAAGGGAATAAAGTTTAAAAAATTACACCACCATGGAGTTAAATAACATGCTACTGAAGAACCAATGTTTCAATGAAGAAAATGGGCAAAGGTTTTTTAATGTAAAATATTTACTTGAAACAACAGGATAATAGAAAAAAAATAATTTCTTCCCATTACTAAAAGTCTAAAAGTACAAGACCAGTATTTTATAATAATTAAATGCAAGTACCCTATGTGAAGGTAATGGCCAATGGGCCTAAAGTGTCGTGGGTTCCCTGGGGCGTGGGTTACTTGGAGGCATTCTGTTCTGACATCAGAAATGGCTCTGCGGGGCAGGAGGTGAAGAAGGATACACATTGCTCAGACTTGGTGATTTTGCAGAGCTGCTAAAATTCCCGGAATGTGCTGCTCTGTAGAACAGACTCTGACACGACAGGTTCTTTTATTAGGCGACTACTTGGTACTATATCAAGGGAGGCTGACCACTCTGCTGGGATTGCCAGGATCAGTTTCATTGGAAGAGAGAAGCCGTGCTTCTGTTATGGGTCTTATTTTTCACTCAGACAGGATCTTTATCTTCACATTGTTCTGTATGAGCTTTCTGGGACAATGTGGCAAAGTTGAATGCTGTGAAAGCATCGACACTTATTTAGCCAGCATCTCATTAGCAGATGCTGTGTCATTTACTCTGCTGTCACAAACAATGCTGCAAGGAAATTGGACATATATTATACAATGGAGCACTAGATTGCAATTGCTTGGGTGGGAAGAGGTAAAGTTACTTTTAAAAAAGTATTTATTTATTTTTATTGGAAAGGTAGATATACAGAGAGAAAGATCTTCCATCCACTGGTTCACTCCCCAAGCAGCTGCAACGGCTGAACTGATCCGGAGCCAGGAGCCAGGAGCTTCTTCTGGGTCTCCCACGCAGGTGCAGGGGCCCAAGGCTTTGGGATATCCTTGACTGCTTTTGCAGGTCACAAGCAGGGAGCTGGATGGGAAGTGGAGCTGCTGGGATTAGAACCAGTGCTCATATGGGATCATAGCATGTATAAAGAGAGGACTTTAGCCACTAGACTACTGCCCCGGGTCTGTAAAGTTACTTTTTAAAAAGATTTGTTTCATCTGTTTAAAAGAGATGGAGATATGGAGAAATTTTCCAATTGTTGCTTTGCTCTCCAAGTGGCCTCACCAGCTGGGGCTGGGCCAGGCCAAAGCTAGGAGCCTGGAATTTGATCCAGGTCTCCCACATGTGTGGCAGTAGCCCAAGCACTTGGGCTGTCTTTCACTGCTTTTCCCAGGTGTATCAGCAGAAAACAGGACTGGAGGTAGAGCAGCTGGGACTTGAGCTTACACCCATATGGGATACTGGCATCACAGATACAAGCTTAACCCACTGTGCCACGATGCTGGCAGTAATGGCATTTGTAATCCAGAGATTTTACGTTGGGAGATCAGTATCTCACGTTTTCACATAAGGAATAAAATAAAATTTACAAACCTCAGCAATATATTAATTTCCACCAAAGAAACGAGAGTCATTTACATTACAAGCAGGGTTAAGATGCCACTGACATCCAATCCCATCAGAGTGCCTGGGTTTGATTTCCAGCTCTAGTTTCAGTTCTAGGCAGCAGGTGATGGCTCAAGTACTTGGCTCTCTGCCACTCATGTGGAAGACTTGGACTGAGTTTGCAGCTCTTGGCTTCAGCCTGGCTCAGCCCTGCTCAGCTCGTGTGGGCTTTTGGAAAGTAAGTCTGCAGATGGGAAATCTCTGTCTCTTTTCTTTTTGCATTCCAAATAAATAACATAAATAAATAAAAATGAAAAAGTCATCCACATTAAAAATGAATCCAGAAATATTCCTTCAATCTAATAACAGTGCAATATTATTAGACTCAAATAGAAATGATAAAGAAAGCTATCTAGCTTATCTTGAATTCAAAGATCTCTTCGCTTGATAAGTAATTAAATTGCTGGGAGAAAACAAAAAGGACAGTTCCTACCGCTGCGCAAATGGTGTGCTTTAGCAGTCGGAACAGCATCCTGTCCATGTAGGTTAACCAGGCTCTCTGGATGATTCCAATGGAAGTCTCTTTATTAAAGCTGGGGGAAGAAAAGAGGTTCATTTGTATGGAGTGTTTTCATTTCCCCCACATCCTGGAGAACTCTCAGTTTCTGCATCCTCTTTCTGTGCCTCCCCATCTCCTGTGCTAAGGCTGACCTAATGAGGGACACTTGGATGTGGGAATTGGAACTGGTCACTTACAGAATGAAGTCAGAATGAGGATAAAGAATATTCCCTTGGAGGTTAAAAAAATGTACTGGCTAGGGCTTTATCATGAAGAGGATTATATATTAGAAATTAATCATTAAGAGGCACACATGTTGTAAATAAAAGTATGAGGAGATAAGTTGCTTTTTGAAACATCCAAGACCTAAAAGGGTTCTGTTACAGTTGTTTCTTAAAAACACGGTCCAACTAGCTCAAGTGCAATGAAAATGGAATGTGGAATAGTCAGTTACTGGAGGCCCAGTTCTGTTCTGGGGGCTGAGGACTATGCCCTAGAAAAAGAATCTTCCTTCTCTAGATTTTGCCTTGAACCAGGCTCATTCCTGACAGGTCAGAGAATTCTTCTGCTTCTGATTATGGCCCAGCACTGAAAGATTGCTGCGGTCCCCCCCTCTGCAACATCCTCTTCTTGCCCATCAGTCTTCTCAGAGCTACGTGCAAGAGAAGTACTAGCTCGATGCTGCGGAATACCGCTTTTGGAATTCCTCTCTCCGCTCATCTCTACGAGGCACAGGGAAGGAAAGGCCTGAAGTGCAGAAAGCCAAGCTTTGGATCTCACCTGATAGCATTTTACAAGCTTCCTACCCCATGAGTCACTTACCCTCTCCCAGTCCTGGCTTCATTTAGAAAAAATAGTAATACTCAGGAGAACCTTGTCCCATGGTAATATCAGATCAAACAGATGTGTATTAACAAGCTTTTGCACATTATAAAATGCTACACTTACAATATTGTTATTCCATTGGAAAGTAATTTTTTAAACCCAAAATGCCTCTCGTTTATGCAAGAGGTGTTGGGTGTCACCTGTGTCAGCAGCATTTACGAACTGTACAATTATGAAGAGTGCTACACGGCATATAGGTGAAGAGGCACTTACGGTAGAAAGATCCTGGTCTCGACAGTAGCAGCAAAACGGACTTTTTTTTTGGGAGCTCTCTTGTCTGCTTTGCGAATAGCCGTCCCTTTAACAATTGGGGAACCATATGTTTTCCTCATGATGAAGCTGTCTGCAAGCACATAAATTCAGCTTTTGAAGACATAATCTAATAACACTGTTGGGATTATACTGGAACACCATATATGATTGTTGTGCCAATCCCAGAAGCCTCTTTAAAAGGGAAGGCCCTGTGCCTTTCCTAATGTTGGTTAGTTAAGATTCTTTGTGTCCTAAACATAATATGTGGTATGTAGGAAAGACAAGTGACCTCTCCATTGCATTCTAGCTGCTCTGTTTCTAGTCTCTGCCTATTTCCATTCATCTTTCCATTACTGCTGGAATGAACGCTTTAGCACACTCAGTCTTACCATTTCCCCACAATCACCCCAACAAGCTTGCTGAGGGCAGGTGTCTGGCTAACTATGGAGTCAGCCACCAGTGTCCAGTAGAGTACAGGGTTTGCTTTTGCTTGCTGGCCTTCCATTTTTTTTTTCATCAAATTTCTGTAAGACTTTGGGCAAGTCACTTACCCTCTCCACAGTTCAGTTGCTGCCTCGGCAAACCTAGTGAAAGAGTGTGTTAAACGAACTACTGGCTCCTCTGCGTTTCTTACTAGTCTTTGAAGCATGACTCTGAAGTAGATGCGGCTCCCAATTCTTTAGTCTTTTCTACTAAACTAGGGGTCTTTATCTTCTCTTTTGGGACCAGAGACTCCTACGGACAGATCCATTCGGTAACTATGTTCTTAAGAGGCTTAACCTAAGATACATTGGACGATAAAGGTCTCCAATTATATTGAAATTGTCAAAATGTTTTTCAAAAGCAAATTGCAGTAGTGTCTTCTTTATGTATTAAAAACGAGAGCTGATAACTAGAGTAGTTTTGAAGTAATTAACACAAATGTTGTTTCGAGATACCTTTCCTGGAAGTCATATGAAAATACTCATGTTTTCTATCCGTGACAGTGATATTGCTCACACTGTTGTGATCTGTCATCTGCAAGCATGGTAACTGAAAGAAATGCTAAAGTTCAATTAGAGGTGAGTAAAAATGAAGTGATTTTCCCCCAATCAAGTTCACCTACTCCCTGAATCATGAACTCCTGCCCTCACTTATCACCGGGCTTTGCACTTTTGTCTAAGTGTGAAGTCACATTACCGTCAGCGTGCAGTCAGTACTTCTCCCCAGGGCTGGGCATGGCTTGGAATATGCAGTTCTCTGGAGCAAAAGCAAAGCAGCCAGGAGGTCCTTCAGGCCAACACCTGATTGCTAACACGCAATCTAAAACAAAGCTCTGCTTCCCTGAACCGTCCCCAAGCATGCAAAGCCCAGATCCTCGGATGGGTCTTCCTTACATGCTCTTCTGGCCATGCCCTGCTCTATTTCCAGGGGTACATTTTCCTGACAGCAATGAGAAAGCCACTTCTTCAACCACAGCTGTGTTCCCAGTGATGGCCCACAGAAGGGCAGGGACAGACCACCACACAGATCCCGAAGTTCTCCCTGTGCCTACCTGGCTGGGATTTGTTCAGAAACACAGACTGAAATGTGTAAGACCTGGTGCAACACTTGAGGTTGCCCACAGCTCCACGGGTGACTTCCAGGATTGGATTCTTGCTTCCCACTTTCTGTGTGACCTTGTATGAGTGACTTTCTCTGCCTTCCTTTCATCTGATGATTGGGGGCAATAATTGTGCCCACCTCCTTGGATTGTGTCAAAGATTAGGTGAATGTATGCAAATGCATTGAGATTAGATGTGTGCATACAACAAATGCAATATTCAGTGCTTGTAAATAATTATTGTCATTACTGATTACTTCTAAGGGACAAACATTTGATTTCTACTGAGGTGGTTATGTGTCAGTATTTTAAAGGGGAAAAAAAGCCTTGGGCAACTCAAGAATATGAGAAATTAGTTTAAATTTACAGCCTGAGGAACCTTTAGTGAATGGTAAAAAGCTAAAACCGCAGTGGCATTGTGACATAATGGGTATGGCCAACGCATGCCATGTGGGGCGCCAGTTTGAGTTCAGGAAGGGGCTGCAGTTTCGATCCAGCTCCCTGCTCGTGGTTTGGGAAATTCAGCATCAGATGGCCTAAGTGTGTGAACCCCTGCGCCTGTGTGGGAGACCTGGATGAAGCTCCTAGCTTCTGGGTTCTCCCAGGTGCAATGAAGGCCTTTGTGGCTATCTGGGGGAATGGACCAGCGGATGGAAGATATCTGTATCTCTGTAAATCTCACTTTCAAAATAAACAGATAAATCTTATTTTTTAAGAAAGCCCTAATAACCTTTTGAGAGATAAACGCAGGCCTCCGATAGGCGACTTCCGGCTGCGAGGCTTTCCAAGAAACCCGAAGTCCGCTGAGCGCCCCCACCTGGAGGCCTCTGAGGAAAGGTTTCCCAGCCCGCACCACCGGGCGTCCAATCCTGAAGGCCAAAGGCGATTCTCAGCGCCAAAAGGCGCCTGGCGCCTCCCTTTACGCGCCTCCCTCTGGGTGCTTCCTTCTGCTGCTCTGCCAACTCAGGCTGGGGGGGGGGGGGTGGTGTTCTCGTTACCTAGCAACCAGCGGCGCAGGGGCGGAGTGTCATGGAGGGCGGGGCTTTATGCGCCGCAGCTAAGTGACGTTGCGGCAGTCCAGGATGGTTGAGCCTGATCTAGTTGCCTGTACAGTCATCACCCGCACCGCGGCGCGCCTGCGGTTGGGCCAGTCAAGGCCCTATCAGGCCCCCGTAGTCTCCTTTCTGTAGTAGGCGGGGCCAAGGCCGGGGTGACCCTGCCGGAATCACCGCTGCTAGCAACATGTTCAAGGTGAGAGTATGGAGTCGGTTCACGGTTACCGTCGCCCCCTCCCGGCTACCCGGAGCCCTCCCCGCGCTGTCGTGGGACTTTCCGGGGACTAGGCACTGTTCGCCCCCGAGGCTTTTCCCGCCTCTGACCGGTTCATTCACCGAGTCGGTTTTGGGCGAGCGGCTACCGGGAGGAGGCGTGACACTCGGGGCCCTGCGGGTCGTGTTCTTGTGAATAAAACGGTTGGAAAAGTTAAAATAAGTTTCCCAAAGTACTCCCCCGCCCCGGCGTGCCTTCTTGGAATCGTGGGTAGGGTGAGCCCAGTTCCGGGCAGTGCGTGCTTGGCGACTTGGGTTGATGGGCATCAGATTTCAAGAACCTGGTTTGTGGGTGAGGGAGGCTCGCGGTGAGGCTAGCGTGGGCCGGGAAGCTGGGCTTGCTGCACGCTCCTGTGCCTGCTATCCCTGCTTGGTGCAGTCGTGTTGGCTTCCTTACTGTACGTGAGCATGTGTCCTTTAAAAAGAAACGGATTTTACAGGCAGTGAAGACTTTATGTGAAAAATTCCTAATTTTAAGCAGAAAGGCATCTTGGAATTGTGCTGCCCACTTTGAGCTTTATGGAGCTCCCGTCATGTGCTCTGAGCACAGTGATAATGGCTTCCACCTGCCAGTCCTGCCTTTGCCTTCTGCGTGACCTTGGACAAGTCATTTAACCCAGACAGCAGCATCTGCCTCGTAGTTGTGCTAGGAGGTTGGTATCTGCAGACTGCTTGGGAAACGTCTTGACACACAAAAGCGACCTAAATTCATTTGATAAGTTGGAAGTTCTGTGCTAGCGCCTCAGCTGGCTTCTGGGGTTAATAATGAAGAGGATGCTGTGATCCTGTTGAACCATAGCAGCCCTAATATATAGTCCAGTCGTGAAAAATAGAGCAGGTCCTTTTTGTGCAACCCGGAGTTGTTAACCTGGGCTTCTCCATCCTACAAAGGGCCTCTGTGCCCGAAGTCTGTCGGGGAAAACTCTTGCTCATCTTCGGGGAGCTCAAACACCTCCTTCTGTTGGGAATTACAGGTAACTCAGTTACCCGTTACTGAGAAGCAAAGCACTGCACGCCGGTAGGTTAAAGCTGCATCTCTAGTATCCCTCAGTCTGCGTTGTTTGAGCCCTTTTACTGGCGCTTCTGTTCAGCAGCTGGATTGACTGGCAGGTACTTCCAGCTTTGGGGGCTTAGTTTCCCTCTGTGTATCGTGGCTAGTGGAGTCCAAGAGGACATGTCCCAACGTGCAAACACTGTCACACTTGGTGCTATTTAAACAAGCTGCATAGCCAACTTTGTGTGGAGAAGGGAGGGAACTAGACAAGCGCACAGGTAAAAGGAGGCGTGGTTCATTGGAGGCGATTCAGTGAGTTGGTCCAGCTTAACAGTGCTCGTCACCAATAGAAGTCATGGTGCCCGCCCGGGCTGGTGTTGTCGTACAAAGGGTTAAGCTGCGATCTGTGATGCCGGTACCCCACGAAGTCCTTCTGCTCCACTTGTGATCCAGTTCCCTGCACCAGCTATAGTAGCCAGATGGGGAGTGATCCAGCAGCTGGAATCCCTGTCTCCTGTTTTCTCTGTAACTCTGCCTTTGAACTTAAAAAAAAAAAAAGCTTTTTTTAAAAGTCAGAGTAACAGTGCAAGTCACAGACGTTTTCGTATCACATGACTGTTGAGGCAGATATCAAAATATTATGAAATTAAGAGTACTTACAACTCACCATCAGGTCTTTTAAATTAATGGGATTGGTGAAGCACATAATACTATCAGAAACATTTTTTGGAGATTGGGTTGGAAGTGGAGCAACCAGGACATGAAACTACCTAACTCGGATGCTGCTGCCGCAGGTCATAGTCTCACCCACTTTGCCACGGTGCTGACCCTGCATATCAGAAATTTGAGGGAACACGGGCCCCTGATTTGGTCACGGCCTGGATCTGGGCATTTTAAAAAAGATATATTTGTTAAGGGAGAGAGAAAAAGAATATCTTTCATCTGCTCGCTCACTCCCTGAATATCTGCAACAGCGGAAATCGGTTCAGGCTGAAGCCACAACTCTCTGGCCTTCCACATGGGTGGCAGGGGACCGGGTGTGTGGGCCACCTCATCTGCTTTCCCAGGAGCATTAGCAGGGAGCTGGATCAGAAGCAGAACCTATTCTCCAATGTGGGGTATTGGTGTTGCACGCAGCAGCTTACCCTGAGGCACAGCAGTGCCATAAAATATTGT